GCTTCAAAGATCGTAAATTTGTATTTGCATCTTCATACCAGGCTTCTGTATCGATTACTAACGCTTCCATTTCTGAGAGTGAACATAGATCTTTGAATGCAGTTGTGACCTAAAATATATTTAAAATTAGTTTCCAAGACTCGTTTGACAAAATAATTTCATTTTACATCGCGGGATCAGATTAGGTTTCCATTTTCATAAAGTCTCAAGTGCCGGCAAAATATTTGATATGTAGATATAGTATAAAACTAGTTACTACTGAGTGGGAAGTAATAATATTACAACGGACATCAGTCTCTTCGCTAGTGATTATACTATACTAGAAAACCTAAAAAAGTATGTCATCATATCCATATATTCATCATGAAAATAGTTTATCGCCTTACCCGTTTAGCTAATTTTTTCCCGGTACCAAAATTTCGAAGCTTCTTTTTTCTTTCAACATCCTCCGAGGGGACTCGCTCTAAAACTTTTTGCAAAATATTTTCAAAGTTCTCCACCTCCTTTTCGAGGTTGCCTGTCCATTCACCTTTCTCTACTCGTACAAATAATGCCGTAGAAATTCTGACGATATCAAGGGGTTCTCTGGTTAAAAGTAACTCTTCCATGTTTAGATAAAATAAGAAGATAATTGTTAGTGAAAAGCTTGCTAGGCGAAGTAAAAAAAACAATATATGGTAAATTTTAATACCTTTTCGCCATACTGCCTTTTTAAATGTCTTGCATTTCCCATTCACGTCCTCTCTAACTCACATTCATGTTTGGAGAGATAGAAGAAATATGCGAGGCACTTTACGCCAAAATTTTATGTTTAAGAGTAAGACATGCGGAATGTGCATTGTAGATCTCAACATTGCAAAGGCGTTGGGGAATATGCATATACGAACTTTTTTTTTCGCCTGACCGCTTAATACTAAGACCTGGCAACGTTATATAATGTATTTCTGTCGAAATTAGTGAACCCCATATAGTAGAAATAGCCTGTAGCTCTGGAGAAATAAACTCACAAATAAATGCTATTCCACTAAACGTTGCTAGGGAAAAAAATTCGAAATATTTTTGGGTGTGTGAAATTATTTCGTCGCACAAGCATAGAGTATTACTTATTACATCATATCCACTCAACGGGATCAGAAACACGTTTATTTTCTGTCGCATGGCTGGTCTAACCCAGATTAGGCAGATCACAATTTTTATTTCACATAAATTATGAAGGTGATACATTTCACTAGGCGATCACCCATACATTGTAGTGGAGTAAGCGAATGAAAGTAAAAAAAATGATTTATTGTATTATTAAGTAAAGCGTCTTTGGCTAATAATTATACATAAATATAATACTATATTATTTTGATAAAGAATCTATGGCCCGAAAAACTCGGCACACATATTCACAATTATTATTTGAATCTGAGAAATCTATAATGTTAAACTTCCCCTCGATAGTAAAACCATATTCAGATTTAAAATAGTCAATTTCTAGCGAATCACATGGATATGGTTTGCCTGTTATTTTACATCTATAACGCGCATATTCTGAACTTTTAACAAAGTTTACGTTGCCATTGTTATAATATTCATTAATACGGTAATATTCAGGATTCGATAGCCACTTTAACATATAAGACCAATCACCATATGTAACGATTCTATAGCCTTGCTGATGTAATACTATAAAAGCAACTATATATGCTAT